ACTAGCATTTAATTGTTTTTCTTTATTTTTATCAATATAGTTAACTGAAGGAAGGACTACATTGTTTTCAATGTTGTTTTGTATACTAAAAGAAAATATTTGTTCAAGTCGCCTGATAAAATTGACACATGCTCCTAGTTTAGGCAACTCTCCTCTCTGTAGCATTTGTAGAGCTTTAATTCTGTGATCAGAAGATTGGAGTGAATCAATTTCATTTGAATTAAATCATCTTCCGCACTTTGGCCTTCTTTTCCTAATTTTTCGAAGTTGCAAAAATGTGAAGCTTTGTGTAATCTTTGTGCGTATGATATGATGTTTTCATTGCTTTGTTGCTTTAATGCTAAAAATCGAATTCTTTCAGCAATAGTTAGTCGTTTTTGAGGCCTCAAATGGGACATAACAACAGTTTTGATATCATTGAACATCATATTTTCTAATTCTGGATATATCATAAGGGAAATCTTTTTAACTGCTTCATTGCCTACTTTTGCCAGAAATAAATCTGTTATCTGGTAGCTACCGTTTATCTCTTTTTTTAATTTCTTTGAACGTGTAGAGGCCAATAAGTATCTAATCCGTGCTTCTACATTGTCTGGGTCGTCTAAAGTCAAATCAGATACTACTCATAGCACCATTGTTGTATCGTTAATTAAACACTGCTAATAGAAAAATAAAAATATATATTCTTTTATATGTAAGCCATCTTTATGTATTTACTAGATATAATCACCATTTAGAGAGATCAAACCGTGGTCAGAAGCACCTAAGGGTGAATTTGAGAAATTGAGAACAGCTAAAGTTGTGGGCCTCAATGCTTGCAGAGTCACTGACTCTAGAGTCAAGCCATTCAGTGTGATGAGCATTAACGTCATCAACAACAACAATATTGGCTGATGGATAAAGAGAGAAGGCTTGGTCAATTTAATTAGAAATAACATCAAAAAGAATGCTGTCTTGATTGAGAAGAGTAATATATAGAACAAAAAGAAAGGTGATAGAGTGAAATAGTCCTAAACCAAAGCACAAATTAGAATAGTCGCTGGATTCAAACCTAGTTTCCCAACAAATAGGTAAATTCTTACAAATGTAAATGCCCAGGCCAAGCAGTGACTATTGGAGTTTTTACGAGTGTATGAAAAGGAAGGTAACATTCAACACTAAGATCACAAGATGAGACAGCCGAACTCAAATAAGTCTCACAAAGAGCAAGTAGGTCTGGTGAACTTTGCAAGAAATAAGACTCAACAGAAGAAAAGTTACTTTGAAAACCACAAATATTAGTGAATGATGATGATTTTTTTAGTGATGACAATGGTTTTTTGTGTTTTATAGTTTTTGGTACTTTAGTCATGTTAAATTTGTTAAAGAACTTGACTCAAAGCATAGATTGTACTCAGTACACTATTTAATTATCCAAGCAATTGCCTAATTACTATTAATAAACACTAAGCTGTAATAAAGGGCTCCAAATGCAGTTTTGGTAATACACAACAAAAGTACAAACAGGGACACCATCCATGATGTTTTGCAGCTGTTAATGGAATCAGCCTCTCTGATAGCTACCACAGAGTTCAGGAAATCTGACTACCAGCTGGTAGTCTGGTAGTGTTTGCCTAGGAGGCCTTCTACAAGATAGTAGTCGGATGTGTTTAATATCTGCCCATGATGAGTATTTTTATTGAGACACAATCTCTAGCCTTTACTCAGCCAAGAGCCCCATGACACGGAATGTTTTAAGTCGGGGTTGGCTTCTCCTAGCCTTAGCCTAAAAAAGCGTAACCTGCAAGATAGCAGGACATGAAGCAGGTTGTACTGGGTTACATGTTACCAGTAGCAGGATAACCTGACCTGATATTCAAAAGTATGCAAAAGACTCTACACATTTAATGACAACTCACATTTAAAATGATGCACATAAATTAAAAATTGCATTTAATAAAGGCTATAAATTTTGTTTAAAATAAATCAATATAAATTTGATTTGTATACTTATATACAAATCAAAAAAAAAATTATACTTACTATTAATTATCAATACTTGATTGACAATCAAATCAAAACTGTTTTAACCTAAGACATTTATCTTTTTTTATATTTAAAACTATCTTACAAAGATAAACAAAAGTAGTAAGGTTTTTACATTTATCATTATTATATTGATTTAAAAATAGTTATTGATAATTTAAAAAAAAAATTAATTTACTATCTGATAGGGAATCTAAATACTTTTAGAATTTATCCATTTTTAATAAAATTTAATAATGAAAATCAAAATAATACAAAGCTGTAATTATTTTTTTTTAAGAATTATCCCCTGTTTTTATATATCGCTGTTGCCAAAAAAAAAATCAGAAATACAGAAGTTAGGTACCAAAAGTGCTGCACTTATTTAACTATCTGCTCCTAATTAAAATGCATGTGGAAAGCTGGAAAAATAATAAAAAAGTCGCTCAACATTTCTTCCACGAGAAATAAATATGAGAAAATCAACAATATTTTCATGGAAAATTGTTAGCAAAATAATCCATAAAAAAGTTAGGTAACCATACATAAAAACTAAATAAAAATCAAGCTTAACCTTTCTTCTTTCAAAAAATAATCTCTGTTTATATATGTTTTTTTTAAAAGAAATACCTCATAAAAATGTTTGCCTAAGGCTACCTATAAAAAGTGGTATACGTAGAATAACACATAATAAATTTTACTACCTATAAAAGGTCTAACTTAAGTAAAATTTGCTAAAAATCTCTCAATTTAAAATTTTTTTGACCCCCCTGATATTATTTTTTCTAAAAAAATTGCATTTTTGTTAACTTACATTTACATTTGATAAATATAAACTTAAATGAGATCAAACTAGTTACTAACAAGTTTACATTTATAATTTGAATAGAGGTGCTGTTTTAGGATTTCCTAAGAAACCATATGTTTTTGAAATTAGGTACCTCACTTTGACATCAGATTGTGAAAAACACTCAAAGGGTATGCAGGTGGGGTTTTGGATTTTGTAGTGTAGTAGAAACATTTAGGCTGAAAGTTGCTTCTGCTCTAATTAGTTTCCACTTCGATCATCTGATTGGCAATTATGATTATGGCGATTGACATATTGACTATGTCACTCGTTTTCTTGCAGTCTTCATCTTTTCTTTTCCAGTAACTTCCAACTCTAATAGTGGTTGCTTGTAGCCACGTCGAAAGCAGAGATGTTAAAAATAAAAATAAAAACTTCATTATCACTCTTTCTTTAAAGACATTACCCAACTTTTGTCATTTGTGTACCCAACAACAAAACATTACCCAACTTTTGGCATTTGTGTGATATGTTGCAAAGGAACTAAGAAGTTCATATATTTCTATGTTTATACAAGATGTAGAATACTGTAAGAAAAGAACTAGACAAACAAACCTTAAAAGCAGAAAAAACTTGAATAAAAAGAGATGCCAAAAATATAATACAATATAAAAAGAGATGCCAAAAATATAATACAATAGTATATAATAAAAAATATAATATAATAGTATATAATAAAAAATATAATATAATAGTAACTCAGGATATAGTAAATAGAGCTATATCATCTACAATGCTGTATTAAGTTTTTCAGTGAATCTAATTCTGATGGAGAAGAAGACAAATTTGAAAAAGAGCTTGATAAAAGATAAAAAAGGGGAATTGGGACCAAAATTAATTTTTTAGATAAATAGTTTTAATACAAGTTTGATGGATGAATGTAAAGTTATAAAAGTAAATGGAATGTGTTAAAGTAAAATCAGCTTTTGAGAGAATTGAAGAATACCCAAAAAGGATACAGAGGTGTGCAGAGTTATCATTTGTTTCCCTCTCTCAAAAGCAAGTTTAAAGAGTCAATTTTCTGTACTTAAGTTTATATCATGTGATCTGTGTTCCTGATTCAGTCAGTTGTTTTATATAATATCGTATTTATTTGATTCATTTTACCTGGAATTGCTCTGAAATCGGAGTTGGAGCCAAAAATTTTAATAGGGTCTGAGCTTGGAGCCAGAGCTAATTTTTAAACCTTGGCTCCAATGCCAATTAATAATTTTTGAAAAATACAATCTAGTAAATACAATTATAATGTTATGATCTCGAATAAATGGCATTTTACAATAAAAATTTTTATTTACAATAAAAATTTATAAGAGATCATAACTTTATAAATTGCCTTTATATAAAAGGCATTTCACAAAATTTTTTTAAAGAAAATCAATAGGCTTTTTGATGGTAGTGGAATCCTCTGCCTTGAATGAAAAATAAAAAATCAATATCATTAAGTTTGAAGTAAAGAATATTGAATTATTTGTCGATTAACACTTAATGAACTAACTGCACCAAATTTAAACTACAAACTAGTGAACTTTCTTTTCTCATTTAAAAATTATGCTGCTTATTTAAGAAAATTAAGTCAAGTTATTTTCTCTAATCTTTTCTCTGAACTTTTTTTTTTTTTATGTTTTGGGTCTAATTGGTGATATAAATAATAATTTACAATCATTTTTTAAAAAATAGCATAATTGCTATTGTCACTACAAATGCTTCCTTTCATGAAAAAGATTCGAGGTTCTCCAGCCTAATAAGCGACATAGGTAAGGAAGGAGGCATGATCTTCGGCGGCACTCAGTAATAAAACTGTAAAGACTTGGATCACATTTTTAACCGCACACCAAAAAAAGGCATCAGTTTTGAAAATCACTGTGTCACTTGTTGATTTATATCTGGTTCTAGATGTCCAGGAGATCGAAAAATATTACGACTACTTTTACGAAAAAATCAGGACTCTTAGCACTTTTTTTAAAAACCACAATCCTTATGTAAAACAGTGGTCTTACGATAAACTTGGCTAAAAAATGTTAAGTTTCAAGCCTTTCAATTTTTTTTTTCTCTATAAAGTCCACAAGTCTGTAAACATTTTTCTGGATTTTTAAATGATTTTTAAACGGTCTTAATCATATAAACAATAAAAATTATTAAAATCTTTTAGAAACCAGTATGTGTAGAACAAAAGTTTCTTGCAAAACTTGCACTGAGTATGAAGATTGCTATTGGTGCGATAAAACAAAGCTTTGTCATTCTTTCATTGATGCGTCGCTTATTTCGAATGAATGTTCAGAAAAGTGGTTCCATCGTAGCTGTAGTAATCAATCAGTTATTTTATTTTTCATTTTACCTGCACTTGGATGTTTGTTGATGATGGGTGTTGGTTACATATGCGTAAAATATTGTTATTATCAACAGTTAAAACCAGTTGAAGTAAAGCTCGAGGAGCAACCCATGCTTTTTAAGGAAAAAAATGGACGAACAATATACCAAATTGCAGAATCAGAAGAAGAAGATGAAGATGAAAAATCTATTGCTGAAAAAAGCGGAAGCATTTATCAAAAGTTAGGGAAAAATTATCCTTCTGTATGGTGAATTTAAGGCTTTTTCAATTTAATTTTAAACAAGTTTTAATGCTTATTTCATAATAAAAATAAGAATACTAATATACATTTTTTGTTTAACTATATGGCTATTTATTGTTTAACATATTTTTTTAGTTTTTATTTACTATTTGCTTTAATAATTCTCAAATAAAAATAGGATGTAATCCATTAAAGTTTACAACTTTGTATTTGTACATTTATTTAATATCTATTTAATTTTTTAATGTTTTTCTGTGAATTTTTTACTACTTTATAATGTGTGTTCATTAAGAGATGTAAATAAAAATGTTTTGTTTATTAATGTGTTCTCGTAAGTCCGTATATATTTTGTTTTATTACATGTTATGTTTTATTTGTAATTGACGGTGCTTAGATCATTTAACATTTCCACAGAATCCTAGCAAAATGTATGCAATGCATATCAGTAAGACATCGTATGCACCACAATCTTGTGTGGCTTGAATGATTTCTTGCATATTTTTTTGCACTTATGATGTTTAATAACTCGGTATAGTTCATGCTATAATGTATAACAGCTTTAATATCATGTTAAAACATTAGGTTGTTTGAAAAAAAATGCATAATAAGTTAGCTTAATGATAAACAATGCTTATTAGTGTTAATAATAATTTAAATACATAATATATCTAACCTAAATGGTAATTTAAATTAATATATAAGGCGCGCTAAAGTATCTCGTAATTCGAAAAAAAAAATTATTTTTATTTTTGGATCAACAAATAACTTATTAATAAGAATTTCAAGTGTTTTTGTTGTTGCTGTTGTTTTCCAGCTTATGTGTAATAAAACGTGTTTTTCTAAAACTATGGAAAATATATCTAGTTGTTGTACTGAATAAATAGTCGTTATCTCTTATGTTAAAAAGTTGTTCTTTTTATCTTTTAGACTTTAGTTTTTACAAATACTTGCTAAATTTATATATATATATATATAGAGAGAGAGAGAGAGAGAATTTTTTTTTTTTTTTAAAAGCTTAGGAAAAGGTGTATTTTTTATGTAAAATCAAATTTTAAAGAGGGTTTACTAAAAAAAAAATTTGATCGGAAAAAGTTTTGATACCCAAATATGGACTTTTAGAAATTGCAAAAACTAGTAAAATCTTATTTGTCACATGTCCTTCATTGTATTTTACATTTTTTTTTATTGCGATAAAATATTAAATGCAAATATTATTTTTAGATTATTGAAAGTTTTTTTGATACTTTTTAAAATCATTATCTTGCATGGATCCTATCTGCAGTGCAGATTCTGCATTTTTTTGGAGGGGTGAGGAGGGGGTCTTCATTTTTTTATGAGGCTATAATGATTAAAAAATTTGATCGTAACAGTTCATTATACTTTCACCAAAAAACAAGTGGTTTATCCCTATCTTACCCCAAGAATATTTTGATAGAACTACTAAAACACTATTAAAAAACAAATAAAATAAAAATCTATTGAAGTTAAAAATTTAATAAAATTTTTTTCCTTGTTTTAAAAACAGGTAGCAACTCTCTATGCTGAGCTCTAGCTCTAATATACCCATCTCTTGCATATGGTCCAACTACTGATATGAATGCTACTGTCACTTGTTGTACAGCACGCTCATTACTTTGAGTATGAATTTTAATCGAAGGAGTTATTAAAGGTATTAATCTTAGTAATAACAACTTATCTCCGGTGAGCAAACAAGTGAAAAACAGGTTCGTGTACAACACCATTTTCCCATTTAACTAGCTCTTGAAGAGTAATTGCTGCAAAGTTAAGTTTAGGTGTTTTTCTTGGTCTGATTCGCATATCTCCAAGGGTATCATTACCACTTAGTTTCAAAATTCGATCAACTGCAAAATCGCGATCTTCTGCATTGTTACTAGATAATAAAGAGATTACAATACATACTTTCATGGTTTGCATACCAAGCTCCTAACTGGATGTAGGGAGTCGCAATTTCTTTTACTCTATCATGTTGCATTCTAAGAATTCTCAATTGAGACAAAATGTGATAGGAAGCATCTTCAAGTCTGTCTTTGACCTCTATGTCAAAAAAAAGTTTAAACTAAAATTGTAAACAAAATACAAAAAGTAACTCTAGATTTTGCGAATTTTAATCATTTAAGTCGTGTTTCCTTGTCCACATAAAGACTATTCTCTGTCAGTAGTGAGCCATCTGGCATGACTTATAGGGCCACATTGAATTTCTCTAAGTTTAGGTGGCAAAAAACCAATCTTAACTGCTTTACATAGCTTGTAACATTGTTTCTGATCTGTTGACATATTTTTTAATATTGTTTCTGGAATGTCGGCAAAGTTCTCTCCATTTGGAAGAGCTTTAAATTGAGGATTATACTCCATTTATTAACATCAGGAAGAAATTTTCCCACAGGACTTACAAATCCAGTACTACATGATGTTGGTCCATCAATGCCTTCTATAAGGTGACGCAAAAATAATTCATTCGAATGAAGCATGCACATGGCCCACTGGCACTTGTGACTTAACAGCTTTTCAAGATGCGTTATAGCACCACCTTTCCAGCCTGTGTTAATTGAAGTACTGTCAGCTCCAAGTACTAAACATGATTTAGTAAGATTATGTTGTTGTAGCAAAATATAAACACCTTCAGCAATCTTTTTAGCTGGCTTATCTAGATGAGTAGGTGCATTTGGGGTTAAATGGCCAAAATATTGACCACCAGGTTCTATAGTCATAGTAATGTGCTGCTCTTTGATAATAATAGAATGTAGCTATCTATTTGAATCATTTATCATTGCTCTTGTTGAATCTTTCCTTCCTTATACCAGCCATAGCTGTGTTTTTTATTGACATTTTGTTATATCTTAACTTCTTTTTTAAAAACCGTGTTACAAGGAAAGGACAGACACCTAAGTTGACATTATCTGGATTATAGTTTTCATCGAGAAAGCCAGGAAATATATTTTTTTGATGTTCTTTATGTAGTTCTATATCTTCTTCTTTTGTGACCTAAACCAAATTAAAACCAATATATATATATATATATATATATATATATATATATATATATATATATATATATATATATATATATATATATATATATATATATTTGGACCCTTTTAGACTAGTTAGTCAGCAAATGTCGACCCTTTTGATATAGGTTAGTCAGTAATCTAGACAGTCGGCAAATGTCGTCATGGCAGTCGGCAAACTTTCGAAAACGAGCACTTTTTTTTTTTTTAAAGTTGTAATGGCACACCCCCTCCTCCACGAGACACCTACTCGCGCCCTGTATAATATATATATATATATATATATATATATATATATATATATATATATATATATATATATATATATATATATATATATATATATATATATATATATATATATATATATATATATATATATATATATATGTATATATATATATATATATTATTTATATGTTTATGTATATATATGTATATATTATTATATGTATATATATGTATATATTATTTATATATATATATATATATATACATATATATATATATATATATATATATATACATATATATATATATATATATATATACATATATATATATATATATATATATATATATATATATATATATATATATATATATATATATATATATATATATATATATATATATATATATATATATATATATATATATATATTTATATATTTATATATATATGTATGTATATTATTGTTATTATTATTATTATTATATGAAAATATAAAATATTTATTATTAGGAGATTATATTTACCTCGAAGAATGCTTGTTTCTCCTCTATTTTTTTAATTCTTTTCTCGTAAGCTTCATGGCTGACTTTTCTCTTATACTTTTTTCTTAGATTCATTGTCTCAATCTTATCAGCATGTCCCATCTGCATGTCAGACTTTTCACCTGTCTTATTTCTTTGACTGTATAACCACCTGAGCTCCCTAGTCGGAATTTTTTTTAAATAGTTACAGGTGCAATTTATATGTGCTTTATTTTTACAATTTTTGGGGGAAGAACACCCAGACAGATCATGCTCGCATAGAAGTATTGTGTGAGGACATGTTATGAGGTCCATTAGTTTATCTAACTTCAATATAAGCTCTTCTTTTACTTTTACCTTAGTTCTTCCCCATGCAACGTTTTCTACTTTCTCCCAAAGTGTTTTTATTCTATAATAAAGCGATTTATCCTCAATAATAACTGGTTGTTGAAATAAAATATTTGCTTTTTTCCATTGAGCAAAAACAGTTGGAATTAGATCGTGGCAAGATCTTTGTTAGAATATTTATTTTGGTGTGAATTGCATGTTATGCTTTTTTGTTTTTTTATTAGAATCCCTTTTTGAATAACTGCTCTGTTTATAGGCAGGTCACTAGGAATAAAATCTTTTCCTGGTCCAATAAACTCAGAAAATCTAGTGGTGGATGAATATCTAGTTTTAACTTTCGACATTTAAAAATAACTTGATGATATAACGAATAAAATATTTACAGACTACGATCTTGTTTTGATATTTTTTTACGGTGAGGAGCTAAGAATTTCTTTAAAAATTGATTTGGCACTGCGCTTATTATGAGAGACTAAACATAACACCGGATTAAATTTACTTTATAATAATTTAAGTATATTTCATTTTAATAATGTCTAAATATGAAAATTTGGGTATCAAAACGTTTTCTAATCAAAAAGTTGTCAATAGCAAACCTACCTTAAAATTTAATTTTACATAAGAATACACCTTTTCCTAAGCTTTAATTTTATTTTTTTCAAAAACATATGAAATTCACTGTACCCTAACGTACATTGATGTTTGCTAATTCCTCTTCAATTGTAAACCCCCTATCTGCAATTACTGAATCATCTTTATCCCAAAGATCTTTATTTAAAAATCCGCTTCTTATTACTATTTCCTTATCTGATACTGATCCAGAATACAACTGACTTACAAATATTATAGCACCAGAAGGAGATATACCTAGTAATCTCTTGTATGTAACATGACTTTTGTAACTTGAATACATACAACTCTGAATATTTAAGGATGATGGTATTTGACAAAACAACTCAGTGCAATCAATAATGCATCTTGTACTTGGGTATGTTATTTTAAAACAATCAGGCATTTTCAAATCAATTTGTTCTCTGGAAGGCCAAATAGGTATCCTACCAAGTGTAAAATACAAATAATTAATCCATGATATTATCTGTCTTGATATTGTTGATTTTGGCAATTTAAACAGCCATCCAATGTGAGAGAGTGCAAATCCATTTTTTAAATAATTAAGAGTCATAAAAAACTGATCAAGTGCACATAATTTTGGTTTTGGACCTTTTTTTGGCATCGATTCTATGTTGTTGTGTTTTTTGTTTTTTTGTTTTTTTATTTTAATACTTGACTGAGAATCATAAAATTTTAAAAACTCGCAGTTTCCACCTGAGTCCACCAAAATAAATACATCATTGAATCTGTCTAATTCTGAACCAGTAAAAGATTTGAACAACTTTGGCTCAATAGAAATATTTTTATAATTTAATTCGTTTTGTTTTTTACTTTCAACCATTTTTAGACAATTGTACACAGCAGTATTGATCCCTACCATAACTTTCCAGCTGCCTAGGACGAGTTTCAGATGAACCAATATAAACATCCTCTTCTGCAACTGCAACACTTGTATCCATATTTTTTAATTTGTTTTTTTTTTTAATAAAAAGACAACATATATAATAAAATATTTAACATCGTTTTTCAAAGCAACTGACTTTTTTGTAAATAAAATGTAAATAGCATCGAAAACAAAAAAAGTTTAAAATGTTTTTCTTTGAAATTTTATATTTTGTCATGGTTCGCCTTGTCTTCAAAATGTTGTAGCATTCTATCAA